ATTTGGGCAAAGTTGAAGAGGTTTTATGTTGAGACGGAGAACCACTTGAGGGTGTTCCAGATTCAACGTGAGATACAGCCGTACGTGGTGATAGATTGATTCAGGAATACACCATAGATTTGGAGTGGTTGTGGGCAAAACTTAATCACTTTTCATCGACGTTGAGTTTTGACAATCCAAAGCACAAGAAATGAGAGATCTTTCCACAGATGAGGACTATGCAGTTTCTTACCTTCTGAAGCCTGCTATTGATCAAAGGCGATCAGTCCTCTTAACTCAGGCCACCATCCATTCATTGGATGAGTCTATTCCTATAATGATACAGTTGGAGGGTTGCATGAAGTTGCACTCTTAGTCGAGTGGACTTTCGGGTGCGCACTCAACATTGACTGCCTCGAGCTCAGGTATGATAAGTGTCTACGGGGAGACTCGTAAGTGCTACAATTGTGGTGGAGCTGGGCATTTGAGCAAGACCTGTCTTAGGCCACTTAAGGAAAGAGAGACATGTGGGCGTGTACAGGGTGGATGCTATCATCGTGACCGTGGTGGTCGAAAAGGTGGAAAGGGGGCTACCAGGCAAATCTGATGGTAGCAGAGGATGGAGAAATAAGTATGTTTCTTACCAATGAGGATCATGAGTGTCTGGAGTTATTAAAGAGGAAGCAAAAAGCAACAAGAGATGAAACTAAGGATACTTCCAAGCAGTCGTCATCAAAAGATAATATTGTTACTTATGCTCACTATGACAATGATACTTGTGATACACTTGCTTTTACCTTTATTTCCACCACAATATCATCAAAATGAATAATAAATTCTGGTACATCTTGACATGTGACAGGTACTGCTAAAGAGTTTTATTCCTATACTTCTCTAGCATTATTGGAGAGCATTCAGACTGTTGATGGTGCAACACAGTCTGTAATTGATAAGAGTATTGTGTGGGGTACCAATTATAAGACTTTGCCCAGTGTTTTGCTTGCTCCTTTTTCAATAAACATTTTATTTATTAGTGTCATTATTCTCCAACTAAAATGTATTGTTTCTTTTGATATTCATACGGGGGTTGGAATCTTGGGACTGAAATATGACAGTGGACTTTTGTACTTCAACCGGGAGGGGATGAACTCAGCTTTGACATTCGTTATAGAGAGTGATGGAGTAGAACCTGGAAGGAGCGTGGAGGACGTGCTGCTGCTATATCATAGACGCATGAGACACTTTTGTTTTAATTTATTGGGTTGGTTGCATCATTCTTTGTATAAAAAGACAATCAAACAAAAGTTTGTTTGTGATGCTTGTGAGTTGACAAGTTTATTAGGATCTCTTATATCTGTTATGGTGTTTTTTACTTGATTCATTGGGGTGTTTGTGGACCTTGTTTTACAAGTTTTATGAATAGTTATCGATATTTTGTGATCTTTATTGACTGTTTTTCTTGTGTTATTTGGTCATATTTGATGAAAATAAGGGTGATGTGTTTGCTTGCTTTAAAGACTTTCACAAGACAGTCCAGACTTAATATAGTGCAATAGTGACGGTATTAATGTTTGATAATGAAACAAAGTATAACAACAAAGCATAAGGTTTGATAATAGTACGGAGTATAATAAACATGACATTTGATGAATACTTGTTGCTCTAAGGGATACAATATCAAACCACATGTCCATACACATTGACACCAAATGGAGTAACAGAAAGGAATAATAGACATTTTCTAGAGGTTGCTCAAAGTATGATGATCACAATGAATGTCCCAAAACGCTTATGAGGCAAACAATTTCAACAGCTACTCAATTGATCAATAGGATGCCATCAAGGGTGTTGGATTGAAAATCTTTGTCAGATGTTAAAAGTAGATAATTGCGGGATTCTCTTATCGAAGGAATTTGGTTGTATATGTTTTATGAAGGATTAAAGACCATTAATAGTGAAACTGAATCCCTGAGCTGTGAAATGTGTGTTTGTAGGTTATACTGCTATCCAAATGGGGTGTCTCTACTGGAGCCCAATAGATAAGAGACTATTTGTGAGCATGAATGTATCATTTAGAGAATTTGAATCATACTATACCCATTCGGTGACCTCACCATTCAGTGACTCGTCAGTTGCTAGAGTTATGAGACAAGAGGGGGGGAGTAGCAGTAGTGAGAGATATGAGAACAATGTTTTGTCCTGTGATGTGGGATGAATCAGTTGATAAATTAGAAAGTGAGGAGAGTGAACCTAGAGATGATGAGATTTAGGTTGAAGGTGAGCTAAGGGTGTACACACGAAGAAGGAAACAAAATGAGAGAACGGTGCCTGCAGTGCACTTGTGTCAGCTAGTCCCTTGCCTCGGTCTTTTCCGACTCTTGAGACACCCACATCATCTATCTCGAACTCAGAACTCCAAGGTGATATGATTTCTCCTTCTCTTAACCCCCAATTTTAAGGAGGGCATCTTCCCGATCGCTTTGGATGAGAACATGACATTGTTAACTTTGTTATATATTCTAACATATCACATTTACATTGAGCATTCATTGCATTTTTGGACACTGTCTCTTTAACCAAGTGTTGGTTGCTAAGGAGGATTCCAAGTAGAAAGCGACTATGCATGAAAAGCTTAGGACTTTTGATAAAAATCGAACATGGGAGATGGTGTCACTGCCAGCGGAGCAAAAGAGTTGGGTGCAAATGGATTGTGAAGTAAACTTCTGAAGGAAATGTGGAGAGATATATAACACGACTAATGGCAAAATAATACAGTTAGACATATGACATTGACTATGATGAAACCTTTTCACCAGTTGTAAAGATAAGTATAGTGAGGTCACTGATTTTTATGGAAGTGAATGGTGGGTGGAGATTATACTAACTTGATGTGAAGGATGCATTTCTTCATGGTGAGCTACTGGAGGAGGTATATAGGGAGATACCGCCGGGATTCAGTATCGTCCAGACAGTGAGCAAGGTGTGTAGGCTCAGGAATTCATCACTTGAAGCGTCTTCTTGAGCTGATTTGACAAGCTTAAAAAGATTATGGTGGGCATGATATATCAACAGATCAATTTAGCTTTCAACATCTTGAAAATCAAATCATTATATTTGTTATATATTTTGATGTCATCATTTTCACCAATGATGATAAGACAGAGATTGCCCAATCAAAGATAAGATTGAACAATGAATTTGAGGTGAAAGATTTTGGACTAATCAAATATTTTCTTGAGATTGAAATGGCCCATGGACCTAAGTGGATGGTCTTGCCCCAGAGAAAATATGTACTAGATCTCATCACGAAAACATGCATGCTGGGTTGCGAATCTACGATTTCTGCAATTGACCAGAAAGTCAAGCTGAGTGCAAAGGTAAGAGTAACGGTTAATCGTGAGAGGTACCACAGATTGTTGAGCCGCCTGATCTTTCTGTGTCACACTTGACTGACATCTCTTTTGCAGCGAGCATAGTGAGCTGCTACATGATGATCCAGGGGTCATATGGATGCAGTGTAACATATTTTGAGGTACCTGAAGTGTGTACCAATGAAGGGGTTGATTTTCAGGAAGAATAAACATATAGACATTGATGACTTTTGTGGTGCTGACTGGGCTAGTTGTGCAGATGACGGAAGATCCACCTCAGGATATTGCATGTTCGTATGGGGTAACTTTGTCTCTTACAAAAGCAAGAAACAATTTGCAGTAGCGAAGTCAACAGTAGAGACAGAGTACACGACCATGGCCCTAGGAGTTGCCGAGGTGATGCGGCTGAGAGTCTTATTGGTCGAGCTCAAGATGGATCAAGGAACCCAAATGAAGTTGTGGTATGACAACAAGTTAGAAATCAACATTACCAACATCCCGGTGCAACACGATAGAATCAAGCATGTGGAGATTGATAGATTCTTCTTCAAGAAAAAGCTAAGTAACGTGCTACTGCAGCTAAGTCGTGTAGCCACTGGAGAACAAGTAGTTGATTTCCTCTCCAAGCGACTCAATTCATTAGATTTATCTAGGTTATATGACAAGATAGGCTTAGTGAATATCTTTTTCCCATCTTGAGAGGGAGTATTGAGAATTGGATCTAATTTAGCGTTCTATTGGTGAAAAAGGAAAATTGAAGTAGTTTATTTGTAAAATATTGGCATGCTCTATTTAAGCCCATGCTATGAATGCACAAAGTAGGTTTTGAGCAATTCTTTCTTCTCGTTTATTTATAATCATAGAGTTCTCGCTCGAGCAACAACAAAAATATCAGAATTTAAGCAGGCAACCCAAATTAATAGATTTGCTGAGAGTTTGCAAAGCTGATTGCTTTCAGCAGTGATACCCCCGTAATAGCAGAGCGACTAACCTTGTAAACGTAGTTACATTTCTCAATCGTATGTCATATGTTGAACAAAGTGAAAGTGCATGGGGAAACTTGCTACCGAATCACTGCTCTTTAATTGAACCATTAAGTCCAAAAGTCACACAAGGCTATGAAACCAAACTAGAGAAATTCCAGGTTGGATTGAAAACCATTCAAGCTTAAACTATAACTTACGTAAAGCTAGCAGAGTGAACCGAATTGAATCAGGTTGAAGAAAAGCTCCCATCATTAGAGATTACAGCCCATTCTCATCGGGATCATCATAGGCCTGATTTTAAAAGGAAACTTTAAATTGCGTTGTAGAAAACCCGAAAACAATTGAAAGGACATTAACTAAAGAAAAATTAAAGCTTAGGCTGTCAATTTGATCGTATGAACCTACATGCCCGACATTTTGAATGTGTATTTTGAGAATTGTATCAATTTTAAAACTAGAGACTTTTGCAATGTTTTAATTGAACAGGTTCTTGTGCTTTTAGCTTTTAGCTTTTAGTTTGAGTAGTCTTCGTTCTGCCTCATCTTAGATGCCGTGTTCTTGTCGTTTTCAATGTAAGTATGATTGTATCATGTTCCTTTTATCGTCTGATAAAAGCTTCATCTGATATCCACTGAAGTATTGGCCTGTCATGCATATAATTCAGAATTTTTGCTATCAGGGTAGCAAAACAAGTTTTATTCAGCTAAAAGAGGATGGGGAAACTATGAGGAACTCAAATCTTGATAGCGCCATATGCTCTAATTTTTATACAAGTCTTAATCGCCTGCCTTCACAAGTTACTGATTACGGATCTCTGAAAGGAACACAACAATCAGAATTTGAAGATGCTTATTCAAGTATGCTTTGCATTCTCTTATCCCATCTGTTATGTCCCCTTTGTAAATTTAAATATTTGACACATGTTATTCCCCATCCTTTCTTCCAGCTTATCTAAACCGAAATTCAATGCAACAAATACTTGCCAAACAAGTTCCAGATACAACTCTTTCATTGCGATGCAGCAGTATGGACATTTGTTGAATGTTGAACATGCAAGCGCTTCTACTTCAATATTTTCCTGGCGCTGTTTATGGCTGGACTTGGATAGGCATTTAAACTGTCTCTTGATTGTCGAAGACCGCTGGCTGCCACATCTGATTTCGAATCTTTCATTTTTGCTTGAGAGGGTATAATCAAAATTGTAAATCAATATCATGTTAGATTAACATGTACTGGCTCCGATACAAATACTGTTTCCAGGGGGCTGCTACTACCGGGAACACTCCTGTGCTAAATTATTCAACTTTTCAGGGAATTTTCACAGATGACCTGGTGCTGATAGGGAGGATGGTGCAACATTACTTGGCAATGTAACGCGACAGGTATATTGATTTGTCTCATGACGGAAATATTGTGCAGGGAATAAATTCCAAGTATTTATTGAGTCAAATGAAAATTTTCAGAGTTCTTTTCAAAGCATGTATTCATATAAAGACATACATTACACTTCCAGCTTTTATGTAAATTTATGAAAATTGAGAGCAGCAAATAGCAAGTTGTTATAGCTAATTAATTAGTATTTATGATTTCATAATTTTTTTTTTTATTCTATTTGTTAGTGTATGAAGCTTAAAACATTTTCTAAACAACATTTAGAGGTCCTATCACGTGATAAAGGTAGCTGATTGATCCTCCTGTCAAGATTTTCAGAGTTTTCTGGTTGAGTGGTACACGTTTTATTTTAAATGCAATGAGTTTTTGATACAACTAAATATGAATGAAGAAGAATTATGATGAAGAGATGTGTTAAAAGTCAACTATAGATTTATAAGGTGAAGAACGGCGTCAATTTGTTTTGATAGTTAGTGTCAAAACACAATGTTATGCTTATCTTATTTTCTTCTAGTAATCTGTTTGCTGTATTTATGTTTTTTTAATGTTATTTTACCAATCTAAGATGCACAATAATGAGGAGACTACTTGATAAATCAGTTGAAGAGAATAATAATATGTCTAAAAACAATAACATGATAATGAGTTACCAAACAATCACAAGAGCACACAAATTTGTATGATTTAATGAGATTTTGCACATCCATGGCTCAATATAAATTCAATAATCAACTAAATATCAAAAGAGTGTACATTTTAGTTTCGCTGCACAATTGAGGAGATCAATTAGAGTTACTTTTCAAATTGCATATGATTGAAGAGAAAGGGCCTTCTATGAGGGTGATGAGGCAATGAAGAATAGTAAAGGGAAAAATTATCAACTGTTAATTTGTTTTGGGTAACACTAGAGGAGGTTTAAATTACCAATTATTTATTGGAAGGGAGAGAGAAGAATAGAAGACTGAGTTGATTACTTAAGTTTAACTTTTAAAATCTCAATGGTTGTCCCCTGTCGCCCGAAATCATGGCCTATCAGTTGTTGCTAACAACTAAATGTTGCAATCGACCGTTATTGGTCATCATCAACTACTTGTTTTTTACCCCCACAAATTTTAGTTTTGATCACCCTACTAGGATTGTTATAGCCTCATACAACTATCTTTTTTGGTAGCCAACTACGGTTGTTATAGCTTCTGACTATGATTATGATAGCTCTATTATGATTTTGCGATTATACTATTTATCTTTCGTACTTGACCTTATATTCATTATTTACATTTACACAAATTTTCTCTTATCAGTACACAATATGTTTTAATCCATCGTGTCTCTTGAAACTTATTTTGAAGGGTTTAGAACAATTCATTCATCCCATCTTGTGTTGCCACTTGTAGCGTCTCCTATGACTTTCTACACAATCAACCTGCAATTTCGTGGCTTTCAAACAGTCATAAAGAATTTGAGATGATTTTATCTCAAAAGCTTGGATGGTTTGCATACATACCACTTAATTCTAATGTATTTACATATCTTACTTTTAAACTTCAATTTTTACCTATATGGCATTTTACTCATGCATAAAAAGGTGTTCTTTTTTTTCTAAATTTAAAATAATTATACGTTTGATGGGGTATGAAATATTTGTGTGATGTAAATATATAAAAATAATAATAAAGTATAGATGTTGGCTATGTAAATACATAAAAATTGAGTGATATTTATGTAAAATCCCCCAATTGTTTTAGAAAGAATTGAACATGTGCATTTAATCGTGAAATAAGGGCATGATTGGGACTTGTAGGGTGGTGATGAAACCACTAATCTTGTCATTTAGGTAGCTGGCTGAGGTCGCTGTTGCCATAATGGCGGTAACATGTGCTCTCTCCACAATGCACGCAAGAAAAAATTGTACTTAGTTGTATAGCTTTGATCAATTATACTATGTACGATAATAACATACTAACTTCTTATACAGTAAACTATGAAGCTGGCTATCCCTTCGATCGTTGGATTTGATTGATTATAAGCTTTTTTTTTTTTTTTTTTATTATTATTCTTTTGGGAGACTTACATTTATACCACTTAAAACTTATACATTTTTTTATTCTTTTGGGAGACTTACATTCAAATATCTGAAAGGTTTAGGGCCAGTGCAGAGTGAAGCTGAAATGGAGATTAGTAGGGGTCTGTGATCTGAACCAACAAAATTGAGGTGGGTAACTGAGGTATGCAAGTAGCACTGATACCATTCATCATTAGCAAAGAATCTATCCAATCTTTCCCAAGTGATCCCCCTCCATTAAGTAAACTGAGAGCCCTAAAAGCCAAGGTCAAAAAGTCCAGCTAGCCTGATATTATCACTGAAATTAGTCATAAGGGGAAGGCAAGGAGATCTGCCTCCCTTCTTTTCAGTTGGGGATGAGATGCAGTTAAAATCACCTCCAATTAACCAGCTAGAGGTCATAGTGGAACCAATGGAGTGTAGCTGAGACCAGAGCTCATCCCTATCAGACTTGGTACAACCAACATATATAAAAGCCAATCACGTGATATGAGTGTTTAGCAAATTTACCCAAAACTTTGGATATATATATAAATAAATAAATAAATATATTATACATGTAGATATGTATATATATATATATATATATATATATATATATATATGCATTCTAATTCTATTTGATAAATTTTAATTGTTTACTATCCATTTTAAATAAATTGAAAAAAAAACATTAATATATATTTTATTTAATTAAAATTCATATTTTATTTATGATGCATTTACATACAAAGCACACATTTTGTTGTGTACACATATTTAACATTTAAGCTTAATTTTTACCTCTATAAGACTTGCAAATTGTTATATCATGTTAGGGATAATATCATTATTAATTCTTAATATTTAAAAAAAATTTGTATTCAATATACAAATATAAATCCATTTTTTCATATAAAATTCTAATAAGCATAAAACTGAATACTGATCTTAATTTTTCCCATAATGATTATTATTTGTTCTCTGAGGTCATACACATGTACTGATGTATGTATATAGGGTTACGATCTTAGCTCAAAGATCATTAATCGTTCGAACATTGATTCAAATTTTAGTTCAGATCAAGATCAAATTGAAATAAATAAGCTGAGCAATGAGCCAAAATTTTGAATCCAATTTTTTTCGAGCAGATTAGGAGCTAACCTAAGCTCGTCTCAAAATCGGATCGTTGACAATATAGAATTGTGAATTTAATAAATTTAGCTCAAAAATAAATTCAAATTTTAGATCGAAGCATCAGAGAGATATACCAAAATTATGAATCGAATTTTAAGCGCACACGCTCAGCATAGAATGTACAAAAATTCCAAGTCGCTGGAACACCCCAGCTGTCAACTTCGGCCGTATTTCAAAACGTCCAAACTTCTATGGCCTAACCATTGTCGGAGTCCTACAGCTCTCTCATGTCTCCGATCTCCGTCGGAGGTTCCGCCGGAGTTGGCTCCTTCTTGACGGAGAACGGCGTCCCTTCCGTCGACGACGCAACAACGGAAGTCGGAGAGAATGAATGCCAGATCTGTGGAGATGTCGGCAATCTTCCCTCGGCGCTGCCTTGCGCTTGCTTATGTTCGATTAAAAAGCTTGGGGTTACGGAGGATGACTGCAGGTGGTTGCGGAGGTGTCTCGAGGCTGCCGGGAAGGGTTTTGCTATCGGCGCGGGGATCAAGGGCGGTCTTGCACTTTTCTCTATCCTTGCTCGGCTGAGGAGTCGTGGATCGAAAAGCGTCTATGCGAGGTCAGGGAACGTACGGTTTAGTGCTTGTTGGTTTTGGGAAATGTTTTTTCGGAGGTTTGAGGTTTGTGTGGTTTTAGAAAGGTGGGGGCGGTCACAAATGCGGAGGCAATGGTGAGCGCAGTGAAGGAGACGTTAAGATATGGCTTGTTTTTGGGGACCTTTGCTGGAACTTTTGTTTCTGTGGATGAATTGATTGCTGCTATTTGGGGGCACAGAAGGTACTTTGTATTTGCTGTTGTTTGGCTGTTTCTTTTTTATGTTTTTCTTGACGTTTTTGTACGGGCAAGGTTATATTCTGAGATGTTCACCTTTTTTTTTCCCCCGAATGGTAGGTGCTTTGTTTCTTCTTTGTTCGTCAACGATCAATTACATCAATTTTTTTTTGGTTGATGGCTCCAATACCATGAAACAAAGTCTGTGATTTTCATGTTACAGTGACTATTAAGTATGATAAACTTCAAATCAGGGGTTGTATAAAAAAGGTTACGGTATAAGAGATGATTTTTAGTAGACAAATACATGAATAAAGAATAACTTTGCTCGGTGATTTCTGTTGGGTGCAAATTTATCCGTAGAGAATAGCAGTACTTTACTAACAAGAATAATAAGAAAAAAGAACAAAATTTAGACAGATAAAAGAGAATATGGAGTGAAAAGATATGGAGTTTTACTAAATTATGGAAAGTATACGATTTAAGGGCAAATAACTTGATGTATTATTTATAGATTCAAGTCACAGTTTGGCACTGTAAGAAAAAGTATAATATATATATATATATA